CGACGTTATCAGATTGTGCTGTTATCATGCAACAACTCGCATTTTCCCTTTCTCGAACCCTTTCTCAGCTCCCCAGTCGAGTGGCAGACAGCATCAAGGATGGCCATGTAATGTCGCATTTTAAGAATTTTGGGTTGCAAAGTAAATTATTTTTATAAATTTTATTTATTTTTATATTTTTGCATTTTTTATATTTTTGTTATTATACCTATCATTTTTTTCATTGTGCAATAGTTTTGTGTGCATATTTGGCTTTATTATTCTGTAAGCAACTTTTTCTGTTACATTATTTTACCACATTATTTAAGAGATTATCTTGGAAAAAATTAAGTGCTCTACAATGAATCATTTTGACATAGTAAATAACCTAATATATTGTAGACCACTAACCTTTTTTATGATACCTTCAAAATAATAATTTATTGTAATAATTATTTAGAATACAGCCCCTCGCCCCACCTAAAATCTCAATAAAAATATACTCATTTGACACGTTTTCACTCAAAACGAAAGAAAAACGCAGTGATCTGCCTTGTGAATCCTCACTATCTTATAATTATCTATTTTATAAATAAACATTTTAAAATATAGCAAAACTAAAATAATCCGAACAATTCGCAGTATAAAACATGTAGTTCATTATTAAAAATAGCATGGTTGTGTAACACCCCTTGTACACAATGAATCATTTCTCATTTTTTAAAATAATCGAAATTGACTAAACTTCAAGGATAACTTAAAAGTTATCCTTGAATTATTTACAATATGTAGTCAACAAAATTCATAAACTGTATGCAAAAATTCAGATCTTCAATTCAATAACTAAGAGAAATTCGAGCCTCTGAAATTTACATGATTCATTGTTGGATCCATTTACCCTACATCAATTTGTAAGGGTACTTTATACTTATAGCCAAGGTTGCATATCTAAATAAATAATTTTTCTTTCTTTTCTTATGAATGGAAGATAAGTTCTGTACCTCCGCTCGTCGAACAGCGTGCTTTAATTCATCAATTTTAGTATCTAAATCTGGACCATTAGGATCATTCGGATCAGTCTGAAAAAAAAAATTAGAAAGTCTTATAGCTTATACATACATTAACTTTAGAACAGAGATATGGGTTTCCCATATTCAATTGAAATTTCGCTTGTTCCGTAAATGAACAAAAAAGAAAGCGAATTTGATTTTATAATTTAACAATATATAACTTTTTGACATTACGACATGTGTGACAGAGTTGTAATATTTTCAGAGTTTTAAATAAAAAATGAGAATCCATAAAAATACATATTAATCTAAATCGAAGTTACAGCCTCTCAAAATTATAATAAATTTTTCAGGTCCATGGATTTTAGAATTTTTCGGAAGGTGTGTGTTCTAGGGTCAATTATTTTATAATGATAATAAAATGTAGAAATCATCTCATTAAAGATGACTTGAAAAAGTATTGTTTTAAAATTCATTAAAAATATAGAATTTCGATGATTCTTTAATGGAGTTAGACAATCAATAGGAACAATAAAATTATTTACATATTTAAATAAGTTTATCAGCATTAAGATCTTTTCAAGATGCCTATGAGCGTCAAATTATTATATTACTACTATAGTTTTGTCGATTGCGTTTTAAAAGTCCAAAAAATTAATTCGGTGCTCAATGTTCATGATGACGTATGTAGTATCGAATTATTTGAGACAAGATTTAAGCACTTAAGATCCACTATTTTCGACTGTTAAAGGCTTTTACTTCTTATTAGTTGTGTGTTCACATGTGCGATCCAATAAGTTTCTTTCTTTAATATTAAGGAGTTAGAATGTTATATTCATGTTAATTAATTATGAGATTTTTTTTCAGGAAATCTAAATGACACGAACCTTCTGACCAGCATCTTTAAGTTGGTATAATATTTGAAGTTTCCGGTTATTTTCACGGATGCTGCTAACCTCGCGGGCAATTTTCGTCGACCAGCGACGCGCTTCTTTGCCCAATGTCATCGCCGCTGCATGATCGGCAGTTACCCTAGATTCGTCAAAAATATCGTCCAGATAATGCTATTAAAATTTATTTATATATAAAGAGAAAGTATTTTAATTTAACATTGATTATTTAATATTTATTTCGTTATCATTTCAATATGATTTAAAATAAAAAATTATTCATGTTAGTGAATTATTTATGTTCAAGATGTTAGAAAAATATAACATAATATTACAAATATATAATGTATTTCACTCATTTGCTACAATAACTCAAAAAACGAAGTTTTCCAGAAAATAAGTTTGAATGTTTTGAATTATTACAATTTTCTAACATTAATTTTGAAATGTAATTTTGATGTAATAGCTGGGATGCATTCGGGGAGACATTATTAGCGCTATTTATGTCATTCTTTCTTCATTGTTTATTAGATATAAAACTAGGATAAATGACATGAATAGCGCTGATAACGTGCTCCTCGAATGCAACTCATAAAGGAGTAAAAATATGTACTTTTTTACAAGTAACAAAAAAAATGCCAATTTTTTAGTTATGTCATTGTTGTAGCAAATAAACGATATAAAAATATAAAAATTATATAAAACTAATATAATACAGACTTTATAATACATAGAAAGAGATGAGCTACAAACCTATCTACCGGATCGCTATCGCAAGCCTCGAACTCATATTGAATGTGTTGCTTCAAAACGGGATAGTACAAACAGCAACATTGGATATTGTATTCCCTCGTGAGCTATAATTCGACATTATTACTTGTTCTTTCCTCATTGTATTGAAAAATAAATATTTTTTTTAATGATATCAATATGATAAAGATTAAAAAGATACAAATCTCGGAATAATCAGATAAAATAATACAAAAATTAAAATAAATGATAAAATAATATTATTAATCAATTATTCTAATGTTAATCTTTAGACGTACCTGCTGAGCTTGATCGCGAATCTTCCCGAAGCTGTTTTGGGTAGCTAAACAAGTAAGTAGCTCCGTGCGTCCCATCAGCGTTAAGTATTCAGCTACCTTGTCATAAACTCCTTGCTCCAAATACTAAATAACGCAAAGAAAAGAAAAAAATTAAAAATTTTAAATTTAATATAAAAACAAGATTTTGTGAAGATGAAATCAAGACAAGAACTTAGCGAAAAATTTTTTTTATATAATTTTCCCTTCGTTTTTCAGAATTTCTACATAAATTTCGAAATTTTTCAGAAGTCCTGTATAATTTGATGACTTTTTAAAAATTTTTTGATTTTTTCATTTGAATTAAAATATTTTTCAGAAATGTTGAGAAAGTCTACATCTTCTCTGGAATTTTTTATATACATATATTCATGTTCTGAAATATTCAAGATTTCTCATTCTACAATTTTCAAAAAAAATATGAAACAATCTGAAGAAAATTAAATGTATTTTTCAAAAATCTTCCTAAACTGAAAACATTATTTGAATGAATTTAATGAATTATTCTTAAATATATTATATTATGAAATATATGAAGGTTTCTTTCACCAGGCAATTGACATATTAATGCATATAGAGTGAGACACTTGAAACTATTGCCTTAACTTGACTTAAAAAAAATTCGAATTACATTTAATGTAGAATTGAACACTCAAATATTTTCTGGTCTTAGTCATATCATCAACACCGTTGTAGAGAACTTACCTGCATGGTGTTCTGTAAATCGATTACAAAATATCGGTTCTGATGGGCATTAGCTGCAGCGAGGGCTAATAGATAATCATTGCGAGCACCAGTTGATTTCTCCTCTAAAGCGTCTCGCTTCGAACTCACCTGACAATATTGCAAATGGATTAATCAAAACTTAACTCTGTTATCACATTAAATGCATGTAAAATTGATTTTTTAAATTGATTTAATTATAAGTATAAGAAGTGTACTACATTTATCTAACTAAATTAAATTTATAATTATTAACATAATAAATATTGCCATAGTAATTTAAATCTTTGTAAAGAGTAATAAAGAAAACTAACGAATTCTATTTATTTTATTATTATTATTTTTCTATATTAGGATATTCAAAATATCTGAAACATATATTTACTTATAAAAATATCATTACATCTATACAAAATATCATGAAAGAATTATAAAATGTCAAAGAATCTTGTACGATGATTTACGTTTCAAAATGTCTGCAATAATTGATTAATTTTTATGATAAGGTCATATACCTTAGCGCTATTTTTCTGCAAAGACGTTATCGACTGGAAGAAAGAACCTTTCTTCTTCTTCAGTCTGAAAACATCGATTGAACATAAATTATTACATTCGCAATTACGTAGCCGGCTTGTGTAGTTAGCTAACAATATGTGTATGAAAAGAACAAATTGTCAAAAAGTTGCAAAAATTGTTGTAACAAAGAAAATATATGTTAGAAAACTTATTGTTAGATATAAATATTTCTTATCAAATATATTAAAATTTATGTTTTATAAGAATTTTATTAAGAATTCTATAAATCTTCGCAAAATTTTTTCGTGAAAATATTTTCGTGATTAAGAAAGTCGACGATTTAAGCAGATAAGCAAAATTTAATATTTAGTACATACTTTTCTTCAATGTCTTTTGCTTTGTCGCGCACATCGTGTGCACTGTGTTCCTCGTCAAAGTACAATTTCTTCGTTTTGTCCACATCCTGTACGCATGTTTGGAGCTCCTTTTGTACTATCAGTAATTGGTCGATTGCCTAGAAAACCATTTATTACACAAATTGATGCAATACGCCATATATACACGTAGCACTTATGATATTATATTTACACACACACACACACACACACACACACACACACAAATAATGATATTTATAAATTATGTAAATATTTATATAAATTACATTTATAAACGACTATATACGAAATTTCTTTATATGAAATTTTTTTCTAAAATTTCTAAAATTTTTTCTTTTCAACTTATTGTCTTTATATACATATTTATATCGAATAAAATGTAAATGTATAAAATGTATATTAATGTTAATTTATGACAAAATCAGTACCTTCTTAGAGATTTGTATTTTGTGCATCTTGAGGCCCTTAGCATCATCGGCGATTTGCTGCTGGAAGACCTCGACAGCAGCGAGGCGTGCACGCGCCAGCTTCTCATTCTCCTCCAGCACAGTTCGCCATACGTTCCACATGTTCCTACAATCATTCGACCGCCCGCCAGCGGATTGCCATTTACCTATGACCCTTCTTCTCCTTGGCAAACTTCCCCCGATCGATAAACAGCCGCGGATTGAAACCGGTACAAATCCGTAGAGGTCAAATTCCCATGCTTACGCTTTGCATGGTACGCGAAAATAATTATCTTTATTAAATTATATTGATTTTTTTATTCGCCCCTTTGTTACACAATACGTATAAAAAAATTTTAATGTACATATTAATTGGATCAATTAATCATCAGAAATTATAATAACAACTAATTATATAAACGCAGATTATAAAATAAATTTTGTTTTAAATTAAATATCAATATATTTTATCAAATTAAATATTAATCTAATCTTGTTCTCAAATTAAATATTGTAGATGTGCAAAGATAATTGTTACGGTGTAAAATTTTCTATAATATATATGTATATGTCATACAGAAACAAAAACAAATTACATATTTGCGGACTTTCGTTTTTCATACTCTAATTACCATTTCTCTTCTGCTCCATCGACTTTGAGATCTGGTATGTTCGGTATCTTCTTATTTAAATATGCAGATGATATTTTGAGTAGCGCCTGAAAAATATGTCAAAATATCATAGTTATAAAAAATTCTCTCTGAAACTTTTGGAATAGATCACAAATTTAAAGAATAAAATTTCACTCTTAAAGATTGAAAATTAAGCCACTCTTTTAAGCTTGACTTAATTTTCACTCTTTAAAGTGAGATTCCAGTTCAAAGAATTTAAAGAATTAATAGTAATAAATACTCTGAACAGATAAAACTCCTTACCTCAGAGTAGGATTTTTCGATGGCCGACTTTTTTATCGTGAAATTACTGAAAAAATAAAATATTACCGCTTTTTTATTTAATTATATTAAAATCATTTTTTTTTTAATTTCAGATTTACACAATTTTGAAATAATAATGATAATAGAACGACATAGAATTCTTTAAAATATAGTTCGAACTTAACTTTTTTGAAAACATTGTTAAAGCAATTAGGTCTTAATACTATTGTTTAATGGTACATGCTATTGATTTATGCAGTAATCTTACCGTATATCTTCCAGAAGATCGCACTCGTGCTGATTTTTTGCCTGCAATTTTGCCGCCTGCTCCGTGTGCACATTCTTCAGAAATTTCGCGTAGTTTCCCTTGTGATCAAATGAAAACACACCGATTAAATAAATAAATAAATATATATATGTATATGTATATATTTAACAACTAACTGTTAAAAAAAGAATGCATTCCTGGTTAT